TTTTTTTTGTTTGTTTGGCATTTTTTTATTAGTTTTTTTGGGGTGGGTTTTATTTGTTTTTTGGTGTTTCTTTTGTTTTATTTTGTTTGTTTGGGTTTTTTGTTTGGGGTTTTGCTTGGTTGTTTTATTGCTTTTATTTTTTCTTGTCTCTATTATTTTTGTCTCTTTGTTTTTTCTCCCATTTTTTCCACAGTGTTGGGAAGGGGTTTGCTTCCCTAGTTCCTCCCAGGCCTGCTGTGATGGGATCTGCATGGAAAAAAGGGATCTGAGGGCTGGGCTGTGTTTTAAGCTTTCCATGCTTAAAACGAGCCTGTGGCTCTCCGGAAATGTTTTATGTCCAGGCAGTGACTCTGTCACAGACCCAGAGCAGGAGTCCCTAAGCCATCAATTAGAGAACACATAGAAAAGGAGCATTACTCTTGTGGATTTGCAAATCCTACTGCGTGGCCTGGCTGATGCTCTGTCTTTATGTCACTAATACCCATTTAGCTGATTGACCCTGTGACTCCAACAGCAGATTGAATTTTCTTTGTGAAAGGTTGGGCTGGTTTTTATTTGCCACGTTGGGTTTTAATAAGGAGAGAGTTAAGAATAATTAAAATAAAAAGATGTATAGTAAAACCAATTTTTACTATAGAGGTTTTTCTTTCTAGAGAAAGAAAAATTAGAGCGAGATGTTACAATCTAGATTAATGTAAGCCAAATGAAATACCATTTACCATATATACAGATATATGCATGGCCAGCATGGCCTAAACACTGGCACAATTATAATAAGAAAAGAAACATTTTTCATAGCAAGTAAAGAAAAACCACGGTCAAAAAAAGGGAGAAACTTTAAAATAGAAATTGCTTAAAAATTCAATATCTGAGCAAGAGTCCCTCCAAGTTTCTCTTCCTTGTCCTATCATGCTATGAGGCTATTTCAGAAGAGCCGCTTGACACACAGTAGTTCCTTAACCTCACCCCTTCAGAGACAATTCTGCATCATTTCCTCCTCTGAATTGTATTTTCTGTGCCATAGAATTACTGCTGGTTAACCACAGTCCCAGCAGATTGTACAAACACAACTCAAACACGGCCACCCTCCCGGGGGCAGAGTACGGGAACAGGGATTGTTCTGCAGGTGACACTCATCCATTTAATAGCTGCCTCTTTGTTTTTACAAGAAAAACAAACATTCCTGGGCCTCATCTGCTCATAAAAGTGTTTCCAGCTTAGGTACAGAGTTGTCACCTCGGATGTGGAAATTCCCATTATTAAAATTGTTGCAATGGCCCAGACCAAGGGTCCTTGGGTTCTGCCTCTGTCTCTACCCAGATGCCTAAAGGAGAATCAGGATCATGGCAGGAGGGAAGGCCTTCGTGGCACAGGAATCTTTTGAACCAGAGGATGCATCTTCCTCCTTATTAAAAACAAATCAAGAGCCATTAGCTCTTAATGCATTGATCTCATCCACCCAATATGAGCACTTGCTCATAACATCTGTTCTGAAAAGCCAAAAAAGCATCCTCAGACCAAAATGCAATTTTGCTCTCAAAGCCAGCAAAAAGTTTGTGTCTTGGAGTGACTTAAAGTGAAACAGTTTGGCAAGAGGTGCCACTGCTCTGGTAATGTCACAGGAAATAAGTGCTGCAACTGAGGAGTCAAAAAGAAATATATTCCCAGGGACTTTAGCCAAGCTAAGGAAGCTTGCTTCTATTTTAAAATATCAGCTTGCTTTTCCAAGCCACCTGCAAAATTCTCTGGATGAATCCTGGCCCTTAAACACCCACAAAAATGTTCAATTTGGGTATTTAGTACAGCCAGGTCCTTTTTCAAGGATGGAGAAGATGCTGCAGTGGGGGCTGGAGGTGTCCTGTTGGAGAGCTCAGACCATCAATGCTGGGACACTGTACAGGACACCCAGTGCACTCCAACCCCCACTGCAGGTGCTTTGTGTCCTTTTTAGGAGCATATTTGGACACTTTTGGCTAATTCCCCTTGCACAGGGGATGGAAACACAGCTGGCAGGCAGCCAGCCAAGGGAATCCTCTCTCACAAGCAGGGAAAAGAGCAGTGCCCTGGGGCACTCCCTCCTGCTCTCTCATCTTGGTAGTATTTTTTTCCCAAACATTCAGCCTAAAAGCCTTCTTCTCCTCCTGTCTCTGTCCTCCCTTCACCTGCTGAGTGGCAACCACCCCTCTCTGGATTTCTCTCCAATGCCAATAGACTCTTCTTCTAATGCTCCCTCTATTCCTACAATACCAGCATGTTCCTTTTATCCCTGATGCTAATGGGCAGATTTAACTTATTTCGGAATGGCCTCATGAATCAGCAATTTTATCCTACTTGCTCTATTCCAAACCCCAGATCTCAGCATAGATAAGCAATTGTCCACAACGGGATGAATCAAAGCAACCTGACCCTGTGTAAACCCGTGTGCTTCATTGTGCTGAACAGGAATAAAATCCAACTCTCACTCCTTTTATCTTCACAAACAAAGTAATGAGGAAATTTCTTCCTTAGGCTCTTGTTGCTTCTGCCAGGACTTCAAAAGTCCAGTTCTCTGAGAAATTCTGTGCCCCCCAAACCAAATTATTTATTGCACCTTCATTTACAGGTAGTACTGCAAGTAGTACTGGTTGGTTTTCCTCATCTTAATGCAGAAGGGAAATAAAACTGAAAATGGTATTTCAGATAGAATGAGGATCTTGCTCTTCTCCCTTGGAAACAGCCACAAGATATATGAAAGAAGAAGTAAAATAACACTGAAGAAAAGTGATAATTATGCAAGTTAAAAAAAATTTCAAAATGGGAAAAATTGCCAGTAAAGGTATTCCAATACCACTCCTAAATCTTTGACTGCTGCTCAGTCCTGATGATATCACTGTAGGATGAGGACCTGTCAGGATGTTACAGTTGCAGATGGTTTTTCCCCCCTTTTTAAGCTGGGGAAGCACTTGGAGCAGGTAAGCCTGGTGCTCATGCTTTGCCCTTTTGTTTCATTCTGCCTCTTGGCACAAGCATTTTTTGGTGTTTGGAACTTTATACTCCTCTAACAGTTAAATTAAGTCTTTGCATTCATGTGTCTTTTCAAGCATCAAGTCTGGTACTTTGGGAGGAAAAAATCTTCCTGGGCAAAGGAGCACAAATCCAACCATTGGGCCCTTATGCTGGCAAATCCTTTGTCAATAACTATTTGGCTTTTAAAAGTGCTGATTATACACAGAAATGTTTGTGGGATCAGGGCCAGTGGCTGCGTTTTTAATTACTTACCTGTGCCTCGTGGATCTTCCATTCTTCAGCATTTTATCCGAGCAGGACAGCGAGGAGAACGCTGCCCTGGTTTTGTCCTAACTGATCCTGCTCTTTATGTGGGGCTGCCAAAATATTCCCCCCATTAAATCTGGCAAATCAGATAACTCATTACCACGTTTTCACCCCCACATCAGTGCACGATACCCGTTTTACCAGGGGAAGGACATCGCAGTCCGGAGCTGGGGACACCCCTGCATTAGGAGGTCTGGATTTTGATCCCGATTTCCAGGCGGGCTCACACCTGCATACCCTTCTCCTCTCCCTCTCCCCACCCACCGGAGAGTTTGGGAACGTCGGAGCGGCGGCTCCGAGGGCACATCCAGGGCTGGAGGCAGCGAAGGGAATCCCTGCTCCCGGTCCTACCTGGAGCTGGCCGAAGGAAGAGGCGCCTCCTCAGCCGGAGCGCCCGCAGCGCATCCTCCGGCGGCTCCGGCTCTTCCCAGCGGGATCGCCGGGATCTGCGGGGCTACAGCCGCCCGGCTGTGCCCCTGTCCCCCCGCAGCCCGGCTGGCCCCAGCCAGGGGCTCATCCCCGGCCGCGGCTCCGGAGCCAGAAGCGAAGGAAGGCGGCGATGCTGCAGCGTAACCTGAACTCTCTGCCTGCCTCTTCCCTCTCTCCCTCCTCCCTCCCTCCCTCCCTCCCTCCTCCCTCTACCCTCAGTGGGTAACCTCAGCGGGAAGGGCAGGTTAGGAGCTGGCTGTAGATGGTTTTGTTCGGGGTAATTCGGATGGGAGGTGGGAAGCAGCGTCCTGCCAGGAGCGGGAGCTGGAAATGGTGTCAGAGCAGAGGCGGCTCCTCCCGGCGCTGGCAAAGTTCGGCTGGGCTCTCCCAGTTTCCGACAGCACAGCCTCGGTTCGCTCGTGGGACAGAAATCTGCTCCAAAACCCGCCTTCAGGCACCCTCGTAGGGGTTTTTCCTGATGGGGAATGACTGACAAATGCAAAACCACCACCCCGGGGAAAGGGGAAAGCAAGGGAGCAAAGCTCACCCTGTGCGCGCCGCCGGGGTGATTTGAGCATCCCTGACCGCCCTTCCCCGACCCTCCGTCTGCTTGACCCCCGGGCTGTCCGAGCTCAGGACAGCCCCCAGCCCCGAGCCTTGGCTTCTGGGCAAAGGACGAGCCCAGGCAGGACACCCGATCCCTTCCCAGGGCCGCTTCCAATACTTGGAGCACGTGGAGAACTGCAGCGCTTTTACCTTTATGACCTGTCCTCTGCTGACAGCAGCTTCGCACCACAGCAATTATTGAAGCAAATGGCTCCGGGGGAAAGACATTTCTCTTCTAAACGCTGCAAGCTACAGCAGGGGAAAAAAAAAAAAATCCCAGACAAACGTTACGGATAAAGCTGCACATTTAATAGCAAAATACCCAAGGATGATCCAGGGCACTTTGAATTTCTAGCCAGAAAATATTTGCTTCGATTTGTCATTGTAATTTTTTTTTTTAAAACAGGTTGTTAGAGCGCAGCATAAGAAAACACGAGACAAATCAATCACTGAGAGCTGCTGGCAGCTCCCTTTCTCCTCCCCCTCCACTCCAAGCTGGAGATGAAGAGATGCAGTTAAGGAGACACACAGAACGCTGTTTGCTTGGTCTACTCTGCAGGAGAAACACAAGTGAGAAGAGAGGTCCAGATCCACTTCCAGATTTGCTGCAGAAAGGACTGCCCCAAAAGCTTTTTCCTTTTAAAATGATTCAAAAAAACTCTCTCGGGTGGCTTTAGTTTCCTATAATGAGGAAGTATTAGCTAAGGCACCCAAGAATGCCTGTGCCTCGCTCTGCCCGCATTACTCTCTCCTTTGTACTCCAAATTCCTAAAAAAACCTTGCCTTTAGTTTTGGGAAAGTGCTAACATTCCTTTGCCACAGTGTGACCTACAAAGTCCAACAGTTACTGAACACACAAAAGCTTCTGGATGCCAAAGATCTGCCCTCCAGCTGGAAATGGGGCATTTTCCCATGGAAAACAGGAACACAGTGTTGGAGCTGGAGCCCCAACCTCTGCCCACATCGCTGCTGAACATCACACTGCTGCTCACTGGCTGCCATCAGGGAGCCCTAAAATGAGAATCATGGAATCACAGATTTGGTTGGGTTGGAAAAGACCTTAAAGCCCACCCAGTGCCACCCATGCCATGGCAGGGACACCTTCCACTGTCCCAGCTGCTCCAAGCCCCAAATCTAACCTGGCCTTGGGCACTGCCAGGGATCCAGGGGCAGCCACAGCTGCTCTGGGCACCCTGTGCCAGGGTCTGCCCACCCTGCCAGGGAACGATTTTTTTTCTCATATCTATTTTAACCTGCCCCACTTCAGCTCAAGGCCACTTCCCCTTCTCCTGTTACTCCATGCCCATGTGAAAAGCCCTCTCCAACTGTCTTGCAAAGCATTAACTGAGAGGGGCTCAAAGGTCTCCCTGCAGCCTTCTCTTCTCCAGGCTGAGCAATCCCAGCTCTCCCAGCCTGTCTCTATAGCACAGGTGCTCCATCCTTGTGTCCCTGCTCCATACTCATTCCAGAAGCTCCCTATTTTTCTCATGCTGGGCTCTGGATGCAGCACTGCAGGGGGGGCTTACAGGGGCAGTATAGAGGGGGAGAATGCATTATCAATCCACATAAAGCAGTTTCCACTCCCTCCAGCCAGGCCAGCCACCTGCAGGTCACTGCTCCCAGCCTGCTCTGTGAGTTTTAGCAATTTGCTTCTCCACGGTTTTTAGGCTGCCCAGCTGTCAGCAAAAGCTCCAGGGCACTCAAAGCACTCACTGCACGGGCAGATTACACAGCCCAGGGTCTGGGAGGGGCACAAGGGGAGAGAAAATAAACTCTGGAATATCGAGCCTTCATGCTGGGGAATAAAAAAAAAATCCAACAAGCACAATCTACTCCTCTCTGCCTCTGATTCAGAGCTGTGTTTGCTGTGTGAGTCCACCCCTACCCCAGCATTTCAGCAGAGTAATGCACACATGTGCCTGCATTTCACCAGCAGTAAATTTAAGCCAACATATATCTACATGAAATCAGGCCTCAAAGAGTGAGTCAGGGCCTAAATCAGTGTTGCAATTGAACTAAAATAATCTAAGCCTGCTCTAAATGCACATAGCTTTAACCTGTCACATCAAATGAAAATTATATACTTAAACTGTAATCTTCCTGTTCCCTTAGTCATCAAAAGAGGCCAGATCAAATTAGAAAAAAAAAAAAAAGCAGAAGAAAGTGTGGATGCTGTTCAGAGGATGAGGAGGAGGGGTTCATGGAGCAGGATATTCCCAGAATCATCAAATTTGGAAAAGCCCTCCCAGCCCATGGAGTCCCAGCTGTGCCCACCTTGTCCCCAGTCCAGAGCACTCAGTGCCACCTGCAGGTGCCACCTGCAGGGATGAGCACTCCAAACCTCCCTGGGCAGCCCCTGCCAATGTTTAGTCACACTTTTAGTGAAGAAATTCTTCCTGATGTCCAACCTGACTCTTCCCCTGGCAAAACTTGAGGCTAATCCTTCTTGTCCTGTCACTTGGGAGCAGAGGCCACCTGGCTGCTCCCTCCTGTCAGGGAGTCACAGAGAGTGACAAGGTCCTCTCTGAGCCTCCTTTTCTCCAGGCTAAAAAACCCCTAAGCCCCTCCTCATGTGACTTAATATTCCACTTGAACCAAGGGGTGTTTCTGCCTTCCAAGCCACACTCAGCCCCAAACTCAGCTCCCCCAGCACTCCCATCCATTCTTCAAGCAGAAATCTGCCAGCTTGAATTGCTGGTGGCTCTGTGTTGTCATCTCCTGTGCCAGGTCTGAGTTGCCAGTAAATATTTTCACACCCCAGTTTTTTGGAGTTTGAAGCAGGCAGGGATAAGGTCAGGCTGCAAACACCCACCAAAAGATGTCATTGTTTGGCTGGGGCTGAGGTTTGCTGTGTTTTATTTTTCCAGCAGGATCAAAAGATGTGAGTTGGAGCTGTGTCCTTGGGTTCCTCTGAGCACACGTGCTGCTCAGGCAGCTCTGGGGGCAGGCACACGAGCTCTTGCAGAGGAAGAGGTCACAGATTTACACTCTGCCACTTGGTGTAGGAATGGGATGTTTTGGTGGCTTCACTGTCTGACTGCACTGGAAGCTTTGAGGATATTCACTTTAATGCAAAATCAAACCCAACCTTCATGCAGAGCTTTTCAAGATTTTTTTCCTACAGAAATCTACAGAATCACAGAATGCTTTGGGTTGGGGGGACTTGAAAATTAATCTCATTCCACCCCCTTCCATGGGCAGGGAACACCTTCCACTAAGCCCAGGTTGCTCCAAGCCCCATCCAACCTGGCCTTGGACACTGATAGGCCAAGAAACGCTTATAGTGCATTGTAATTAGGAAAAAGTTGGCTTCTGATTGTGATAACATGAATGGTATCACCTGTATTATCTCACCCTCCAAACGAAACTAAAAATAGAATAAAAATTATTTAAATACCTCTCAGTTGCCCCATCTCTGAGTCAGAAAAGGGCTTAATCCAGCATGCAGAGACAGGGACTGGACACAGCTGAAGGTGTCCATGCCTGGCTGGGTACAGTAACCCCCTGAGCTCCCAGAACTGTCCTCTCTGCCCGCAGGCATGCAGCAGTGCCCTGGCAGTGGTGGAATCAAATCACATGCTCCAGGGCTTCTGCCTGAAGGAATAAGGAAAGCAGAATATTTTTATTGGTCCCTGCCCACTGCACAATGAAGTGGATGGTTGTGAAGGCTTCCTATGTGTTTCTGGGTTTTTTGGGTTTTGTTTTTGTTGTTTTTTTTTCCCTGTTGGCAAAAAAA